AAATAAAAAATCTAAATTATTAAAAATTGAATGTTATACGTGAAAATTTAGAATTTCAATATTAAAAATTTTCATATTTTTTTAAAAAATTTATTTCTGTAACTTTTGTATATAAACAATTTAATATATTGAAAATTTAATATCGTGGAAATTCTTATATATTAATATCGAGTAATTAATATGTGATTCTATAAATAATTCTATCTTATTTCAGTGCACTCGTTGCATTTATCACACGAGTAGAGTTTCGTTGATATCAGGGTTATTCTTTGTTATTTAGCTGTCGATTTCGCGTGAGTCATCGAAATATGCATATTGCATATAAATACGTATAGAAGATTCTTCGATGCTCATCAATCCGACATTTTTAATGCAGACTACTATGTTTATCATCGATTCATTTAACATGATTTTAATTAGGAATATTAAAAGCCAAATAATTAAATATATCCACTAAAAAAAATATTAAATTTGAAATGATAATTTATAAATAATATATAAACTGTCTTCAATAATTTTTAATATTTTTTCTTCATAAAATATTATATTTATCTTTCTGATGAAATTTTTTAAATGCAAATATTACTCTTGTTATTATTAATAATAAATATTTCTTTTTTTATACGAACAATCAAAATTTCCATGATTTATTATTATTGCAGATGTTACTATAATATCTAATTTTTCATTAAATTAAATTTATCTGTAAAAAAGCAATAATATTTCTTATTCTTCAATAATAAAAATATTGTTAAATTTTATATCAACAATCATCTCCAAAAAATTTCATACGATCTCCAATCAAACAATTTATTCTCCCACAATATCTGTTCAAATTCGAAAAATCATAACTTCATATTCATTTCTCCCAATTAAAACTCCATTTAATAATAATTTTCTCAACTCACCTCTCTCATCTTCCATCAAACAAAATTTCACTCTCTCCCGTCTAATAACAAAAATCCATTTTTACATCATGATAAATTTTCACGATGATGATTTAAAACAACAATTCACAAAAATTCATCGAGCAGGAAAAAATTTTCATAGGTCAAGAGACACTCGGACATCACACCGTGTAAATTCGAGGTAAACGCACTGGCCAGCCAGAGACTCAGGTGAAAAGTGTATATCGAAAGGATCGATTTCGAATATGGTGTGGATCATCCACGATTCGATGATCGATGGCGCCCAGTGATCGATTATGTGTCTGACTGACTGACTTACTGACTGACTGACTGACCGCCGATTGTGACTTGCCGGCGATCTTCCAGCAAAGGACGAACAGGTGGGGAAGGAAGTGGGGGCTGATCGAAAGACCGGAGAACGAAAGTACTCGTCTCGCATTTAATTGTTCGGGACATCTGCGCGGCGAGAGAAAAACACTGGGAAAGTGTGGAACGATTGAAAAAAATATATGCGATAGGATTTCGGAGATGAATGAAATTTCGGATCGAAAATGGGTGAAAACAAAAAATTGAAGAAATTTTTCAGGATCAAAGTATCGTAAATAAATAAATTTGAAAATTTATAATTAATAGTTTAAAATTAATAATTTAAAATGTGATTGATAGTTTGAAAATTTATATTAATAGTTGAAAAAAGAAAAAACAAGTATTCTTCACGTTTGAAATAAAATGGGAAATGAAATTGAAGTAGTAGTAAGTTTCGAAAGGAAGAATATGATGAATATAATGAAAAATTGATTTTGGGGAACGAATGAAAATGAATGAATTTTTGAAAAATTGTAATTATGATTTCTTGCTTTAATATGAATTATTATTACGAAGATATGAAAATTAATATAATTGGAAAATGTTGAATAATTAGGCGAATAAAAGTATTCTTCAAATTAAATATGAAAATAGGATAATAAGGAAAGATTAAAATAATAGTTTCAAAGAAATAAATTTATTACATGTAAGAAACATCTATAACGTTGATCTCGTACACTCGTAAATGTAGAGAAATAAAAAATCAGTGACGCAAAATAGTAAAATTATATACAAACTGGATATCGTACGAGCATTGAAGAAATGGAAATATAATTGTGAGAATCGCAACATCGCAACATCATAATTTTATATTTTATTGCATATGAATAATTGAATGGATTAAAACTCATTCCGGATTCAAAAATAACGCTAGATAAAATTTACAATTACGATAATTCGAATTATGATTAAAAAAAATTTCTTTCTTATCTAATTTTTAAAAATGATGATATAAAATTTTTTAATTCTACAATTTTTTATTAAATTAAAAATGTCACAATTCTGGAAATGAACTGTTAGATCATTGCATTTAATTATTGGAATACCTTAATTGCAGCAGAAAAACCTGTAAACGTAAACGGAAACCCATGCGATTTAAAGACGTCGTTTTGGATTTAGTCGGTCACTTTCACTCGTCACGTATCGTCCATTTTTAGTGAATTTTTCTCCTCTTTTTTTCTTGTCAAGAAGCGGGCAAAATTAATTAAAATCTCCGCTTGGACGACGAGGAGTAACAAGTTGTTGCACTTGTTAAATTATTTTATCAATTTTCATTTTAAAAATTTGTCTTTTCAACCATTGTTCATATTTAATTATTTAAATTATTTAACAAGTTTTTAACTTTAAAATTTTCGATGTTATTTTTTCTGATTTTCACTTGTATGGATTTATTTTAAATTTCTTTTTAAATTTCATCAATGTTATGTAGATTTCTAAAAATTTTAAAAAAATTGTAAATGTATCACTTATCAGTATCTTCATTTTATTGTACAATAATATTTTAATTTAATTGTTTAAAGCTTATTTCAATAAAAATTAAAATAACAAATAAAAAAGGATTGGAAAGATAAAAAAATAAAATATATAAATATAGCGAATAATTCTTTTTAAAGTTTATAAAATATATTTCATATTTAAAAAAAAAAAAGAAAAAGAAAATACATATACATTTGCAGCGATCAGAATTTTTATCGTTATCACGTACGGTATGCATCGCGGATTTTCTATAAATATTTTTCCACGTACGACCGGTTATAATCAATTACATTTGCTCCAATAAATCGCAAACACGATTTTATTTTATCATTTAAATGAAGCAATTAAAAGAACACAATATACTTCGTTAAATTATTTTCGCAAAAAAGTCGATTTTTTCTAGAAATATGATTAAGGAAACGCAATAAAATTATTTCGTACAATTATTATTTTCTTCTATAATTATATTATTTTATTTTATATTTACATATTTTTTCTATTAAAGCTAAATAATTAAAAATATTTCAAAAAAATCTACATAAATATATATTTTATTATTATATAATCTATATAAATATATATTATAAATTCTGAAAAAAGAATAATATTTTTTTATAATTTTATCATTATTACTATTTGCTTTTATAAATTTAAAAAAAAAAAAGAAATAAATTTCTTTATAAGTACTTATTACAAACTTATATAAATATAAGTACTTATTATAAAGTATTCTATAATACTTACTTCTACTTATTTCTTCTATTAAATATACAACGCTATATTGTATCTTATATAAAAATAATATCATTTTATGTATAAATACATATGCATACGTAAATGTTTTCTTGTAAAAGTTGTAACATTACAGATTACACAATAATTATTGAGAGATATCTTCTCTGTGTTAATTATTTTATACATGTGTAAACGTATCGTACATTGCACATAAACCGAGCCTATTTCCAACATGGTGTGGAGATAAAAAGAAATTGTACTTTCAAAAATTGAAAGTGTTTATTTCGTTCTATGTACTTACGTGTTCTAACCTACTTTCGAGGCAGTTAATTACAAATATAAGAATTAGTTGTGTAAGGATAATAGAACTGGATTGTTTTGCGCTCGAAAATCTATGACTATTTTAACTCTTGTATCATTTTAACGATAAAAGTGATTTCTTAAAAAAAAGGAAAGAGTATCTTAAAAGAAAAATATTATTTCCAAGAAATAATATCTTTTATAAATAATTAAGCTATGATACATTATATCATTATAATTAATATATTATATAACGATTTATTATAATTCAGGACTATTGAATATCTAATAAAATAATAAATGTGTTTTAATAAAAATCTTGGAAAATAACATGCAGAGTTTTAAAAGAAAATAACATGTATTAAAATTATTTTAAAGTTCTTAAGGTTATGTTCTTTCTGTGATCAATTTATTAACTATAAAAACTTATTCATAACCAAGAATTTATCCAAGTAAATATTATCTATTTAATCGCAAAAAAATCGCATTTATTGTAAGTATTCACAATTAAAAGTATAAGATATTATCAATTTTGAATTAATCAAAGAAATTAGAATGAAATCGTCACGAATTCAGAAAACTCGAATTTTGGAACGAAAAAATTTAGATGGATCAGATAGATTAGGTTATAGTAGGCTCGAAATGATTCTGCATATTTATATTATATATATTATATATATATAATATATATTATATATATATAATATATATTATATATATTTATATATATCTCTTAACGTTTTTAACCAATTGTTAATATTGTTAATGCATAAAAAATAATTGAATGAAAAAGTAACTATTCTACACAAAATTCTACAAAATACAAAGTTAAGAAAACAAACAATATAAAACAAACAAACATAGATAAATAGAACAAAAGATAAATAGAGATTCTTATAAAAATATAAAACATACAAATATGCATTTCCAATAAAAAGTTTGGAATTATATTTTAAGCAGTATTAAAAATATTCAAGTTAATTTAACGATTGAATTAGATATTATCTAATACTGACTCTATAAAAATTTGGCAGTTATTTTATCTTAAGAATTTAGATTTTTTCCACGGAATTAAAATAAATTTTTAAAAATCTATAAAATATCTATAAAATATCTATAAAATTTCGATTTAAAAAAAGTATAAAAAAGTTATATATTCAAATTGTACGTCGAAAAAAAAAAATTGCGATGCAGATGTTTCATCTCTCTTTTTCCTTCCAGCGAATTTTCTTCGAATTAGCACCGAGATGAAAGTTAATCAAGTTGTCATCATTGACAGATTTCTAGATTTAATCGATCACCAACTGTCGGAACGATCCGTCCAATCCGAATAAATCGTCGTGAGTCTTTGGCTTTCCTGGTCGAAGTGCTTCATTCGTTTTTATTGATTCCTGCTCTACGAACCAGGGACCATATTCTTCTAATTTCTTTATCCAAGTCTCTGTAAAAAAAAAAAAAAAAAAATAAATTTTAATTAATTAAATATTGGAAAGGAAATTAACTAAACTAGAATAATGTTAAATTTTTAATAAAATACAGATGAGATTTTTATATTAAAAATAGATTATAAGATTTATATTTATATTTTAATTTACCAGCAATAAAGTTATTGAAACTTCTAACTTTTGCAAAAGTGATAGATAATTAATAATTGTTAATTGATAATATAGAAATTTTAAATTTTTTATATTTTTCTCATTTAATTTATAAAAGAAAAATTAGATTCTCCTAGATTGATAATTTCACAATAAGAAAGAAACATCCTAGATAATAAAAAAATCATTAATAAATATAACAATTTTTTTAACCTACCATGTATATTTTGTAGAGGTCCAGCATCGCCGCCATATTCGGCTGGCAATATTTCCCTAGGGATATATTCGTATAAAGTATTCAAATCACTGTGCATAAAGATTCTGTTGCGAATTTTTTCTTTAATGAATGGTTTTACGAAATTGACGATAGTATCGACCAGAGGACTAATGTTCACCACATGCACCTCTTTCAACTTTACTGGATATGCCTCTTGCACGCATACTAGGAATTTCTTCACGAGAGCTGGTGTGAATTTGGCGAAGTGAGATGGCGTTGCGACACTAGCATCTAAAATATACACATCTCCTGCGACTCCCACTAATTCTTCCTTTAAACGTACGTCGCCGATCATTAAAACCAGTTTCATCAATTCTGCCACGTTTGGGGTTGGAAGATCCTTGTTGATACCACGCATTACAATTACTCGTCGTCCATTCTTTGTTAAGCCTGGCAATGGAGGAATCTGACTGAAAAAAGAAGAATCGTGTTGTTGTGGTTATGTACATAATGAAGAAAAAAAAAAATTTGTGACGATAAGAAAAAAATTGATGGAAAAAACCACAAGATAGAAAAATAATGAAAATAATTAAAAATTTTGTTCAGAAATTGGAGAAGAAAAGAAGAAATAACTAAAGTTATTAATTTTCTTCATTTTTTCAAGAACATATATATTTAAAACTTAAAGATTAAAACCGTTTTTCTCTTCTGACTAATTCCTTCTTTCTGAAATAGAGGTTAATACTAAACAGTTGAGGTTTATTAAAACGAATTAGAACTTTTCTTGTTATGTTATGTAAATATTCTCTCGGAAAGTTTCCTATTTAGTTCATGATTTGTGTTAGTGCATGATTCATGGAAATTTGAAAATAATTGACTTCATAAAAGATTTCAGAAAATTAATATAATTCTAAATTAATATAATAAATAAATGATAAAATGAATAAAAAAAGATAAAAAATGTATAAAATAATTTCCAATTAAATATATATAAAATGGAAGAAAAAAAAAGCAAAAGAAGTGTTAGGTTATAATTATTTCGCGAATTAATTATTAAATTATTAATATCATATAATCGTGAAAAATATCATTAATAATTTATATAAGGCTTACATAATTTTAGTGATTTCTTTTAGTTCTGGTAAAGTGACATCTCGATTAGTAAAGAACTCTGGGATTGCGGTTCTCATCGTGAAATACATGTCCAGTTTTTTCTTACATTTTTCCAAGGAGAATTTACAACCTCGAAGAAACGTCAGTAGTCTGTAATCATCTAAAAAAGAAAAAAGATAATTTTTGAATAAAATATTTAAATATCATAAACAAGATTTTTCTTTAAGATTAAAATTTAATTCACTTTTTTTTTCAATAATTACATATCTATTTCAAAAAATAAAATTAACCAATATAAAACAATTTAATTTTCTTTCAAGCATCAATTATTCCTTCTTTTTCATTATTATTAATTCATCATTATTATTATTCATTTTCATTAATTCTTAATCGATTTTTTTAAATTTTTACTAAACGTTTCTTTTTCAATTATAATTTTCTTTTTATTCTATTCGTGTTGCATATCAAAATGATCAAAGATCTCGAAACACGTTATCTTCTAGCAGATAACGAGAAATTATCGATCGAAATGTAATTACCATCGAACTGGGGTAAATGTGGTTGCTTAGATAGCCATTCCTTGATGACTTCCACATCCTTATCGCGTGTCGCCACATTTTCATTCAACTCCACGCGAATCTGCTTCGACATCTCTTCCGACGGTTGGATCAGCAACATCTGGAAACCGGTTATGGTTTAAAGGAGAACAAACTTAATTCGAAATATGCTTGAATCTCCATAATCGAACAAAAAACATGACACAGTTGTTCGTATAATTGAACAAGTAATATTGTTTCTACATAGAAATAATTGTTACGAAATGAATTTAACAATTTTCTTCAATATCTTCCAATCTTTTTTAACCAACAATTGAGTAATTTTCTTTAATGTTACCGTGTCACGAGCCACTTTCAACTATTTAAATATTACCATATTTAAAAACATGTTATTGGTAAATAATAATTTCACTTTTATGTTTTTTGATAAGTTGTTTTGTGATATCATTCACCTTTTTTTCTTCGTTTCTTCTTTTCGTTCTTTTTTTCTATTTTTTTTTTGTTTTTGTTATCTTCATAAAGTTTCATAATTTTCTTTTTTACTTTAATACAATTTTTACATTACATTAATAAAAATTAAAAAAGTTATAAAAAAAAGAAGAAAATTTATACATATTGTTATTGAAAATATATACATAATTCGTATTAATATTATTTTATTATTTATGTATCCTATATTAATATATCATGCATGAATGAATCAAAAGAAAATTGCATTAATAAATAATCAATGTTTTTCGTATACTTATCGTTGGAAAGGAAGTTAATTTGTGATAGATAGAATGTCGTGTAATTTTAAGCATGTTAATTATGACATCTAATGTAATCTTGCATGCGAAACCACTTGCGCAATTTATTGAAAAATACGTTATTTCCTTTATCATTTTTTCAATAAACAAAAAATAATCTGATAAAAAATTTTAGTTCAATACATTCATCGTGAACATTTACTTTTTATTTTTGCAAAAAAAAAAAAAAATGAGACTCGAATTAAACCAAATTATTTGTCCTAAATAGAAATGGATATAATCATTATAGAGATCATATAAGAAATTTCGTAAAATTTGTATAAATTTCATGTCATCGATTTTAAAAGTAAACACATCGTAGTTAATGCAAGTATCTCGATAGGGAACAAGAAGAAAATAACTTCTAGTTTTGGATAATAAACATATTAGTTGATGCAATGTTGCACGTGCAACGATCAATGTGCACTGTAACAGGTTACGCAAATAGTCGAGATACACATCGTTCTTATACGAGAAATTAATGCTGACCAGAAGCAGCTTGCCTAACACTAAACTTTCTCTAACTTGTCACGCTTGACCGAGAGGAATCCATGTTTTTTTTTTTTTTCTTGGAAAAAAGTTATCTTATCAACACCTTTCGCTGTTTCTTCTTCTTCTTTTTTATTTCTTCTGTTTTTTCTTTTTTCTTTTTCTTGTTTTCTTTTTTTTATATCTTTTCTTCTTCTTTTCTTGGATTGATTTAAAAAAAATTTAATTCTCTTGTAATATGGTACATAATATATTGCAATTATTTGCTATTGAAAAATTATTTTTACTTAAGAATAAAAAATTGAAGAATACAGATGAAAATTGCAAGTTTATTTATTCATGTTACAGTGCAATGATATTCAATGAAACTTTTAAAACTAGAAAGAATTAAAAATATCTTAGGATTATCATAGATAAAAGGATATCATAGATAAAATTTGTCATAAGATAAAACAATTTAGAATTCTAATATTTTTTCTTTTTTGTTTCTTTGACAATGAATAATGTAAAAATTCTTATCCTATATTCATTCATTTATACCATAAAATTAAGAAATGTAGAATATTTAATATAACAAAAATTCATTAAAGTTCTCTTCCATAACATTTATATCTATGACAAATATAGCTAATGAATTTTATTTTCTGCGATTCATTCCAAAAGAATATTTTTTTCTCTGGATATCAATTTGTACAAAATGTATACATGCATATATTCTATTAAAAATAATTACAATTTAATATCTATCACATTCACAACAACTCATTATTTCTCGAAAATTATTCTTCTTTTAATTTATAATATTTTGTAATTGTCATCCATCGTAAAATCCAATTATTATTCAAAATAATTCAACAATTCAACAATTTCAAAAAATTATCTTCTTTTAATGATATTTCCTAATTACCAATCAACGATATAATCTAATTACAATTTAATATCCATCAAATATTAAGGATTTCACAAAATTATTTCTTCTCCTGTCAACTTAATATTCTCTCACATGTTTCACTTTGTACCTTCACATCGTTCCATATTTATCGATTTACAACATATTCATATATTTCTCAACTCACGTTTCTTAAATAAAGTCACTTCATAAATTCCTCGCACGTCAAAGAACGTATTTCTAAACCAATTTCTGAAATATCGCGTATTTCCTGTGGAACAAATGGAAAAATCGACGAACTATTCCCAACTACGATTGAACAAAGTTCACTTTCGTTTCTCTTTTGAAGCAAATGTGTTTCTTCGCGCACCGTAAAAACTATCAAATTACAAAATACCAGCCTTGGTAGAATCTGATATTGGGCAACTCGATAGAAAGGAAACATATATATGTGAATCGATCTTTCACTTTCTTTCGCCTGATCCTTATTTTGCGAAAATTTAGGAATACACTTATTATTATACACATTTTTCATGAAACTACGTTTACAACATTTACAACATTTCTCAAGAAACTGAAATTGTGCAATTTGTGAAATTTAACGAGATTTAGAAATTTGTTCGAAATAAGTGAAAGCTTTAATGTTGTTGATGGATTTAGAAGATTATCGAGTTGACTATATATTATTATTTTAAATAATTTATTAGTTTATTCTTTTTTAATAAGTAAAATATCGTTTATAATAAAATTATATAAAAATTTGCGTGCAAAAAAAAATATGATCAAAGAACACGAATCTCGATTCAATATCACGTGTTTGTTTTTCCTCTGCTAGTCGATTATCCATTTCTTGTCGTTCACGATATGTTTTAACAATTATCTAATCTAAGAATCTATGGTTACATGATTTTGTGCAAAAAACTATCAATTCATTAAATTCTTTCTCAGTGTTCATTGAAATGTAACAATGTAAAAAATGACGAAAATGTTACTATTCATGTCAAAAAAACTATTGACGATCGAAAGGCAAAAATCAACATCACCTTTACTATTCAACGTAGTTCTTACTTTTTCTTATTTCACAATGAACTTTAAATAGAAATTTCTTCATCTTTTATACCAATAGAATAACATTTCAAGAATAACATCAAACAAATAATTCCAATAATAAATCGTTGTCATTTAAAATTTAAAAGTCGATTGATTTCATTCGCAATTCAGTTCCAAACTCGATTTATTAAATTTTCATCGGGGAAAAATTTAAATTATTCACAAACAATAAGTCATAAAGATATTAAAATCCGACATGTAGATCGCGAAATTAAAAATTTTATGAGTCCAACTGAAGAAATGGAACTTGAATTAGAAATCTATTTTAACCTCTTTCACTTCTTTGTAAGATGCTTCATATTTTCTTACATTCTTTCGCACTTAAATTTTTCATAATTAAAATCTTTTCTTCTCATTCTTTCAAAACATTTTCTATCTGAACAAATTTAAAAAAAAAAATAAAATTTTGTCCAATTCTCAAACTCAGAGTGTACGAAGTTTCACGTGCACTGAATTAATAAAATTAGAAATAATAATAATAATAATAATAACACATCAAATTTTGTCATCGAAACGCATACAATGTTCATAAAAATTTTGCAGATTCGTTGCCTTACCTTGGCCAAGCAGCGACGAAACGTTCAATCCAAAAGACAATGGTACGAATAATCGGGAACAAAAGTATCGGCTACGATAACCAACCACGGCCGGTCACGAAGAGAGAAATGCAAGACACTCTGTGCAGAGAACCGAAGAGATGGAGAACAGCCGATAGAGTGGGAACGATTACCTCTTGGACCGGTTCTTCTTTATATCGTGTGATGCCCCACTCTCGATTTTCTCTTCGCGAGTCGCATTGAACGATGAAACACAAACATTCTGGACACAATCGGTCCTAGTGGACACTAGGATAAAAATAGGAGAAAAAAGATTAAAATTTTACGATGATTTTTTTAATGGTGAAAATAGTTTGTCGTTGATTTTTCAAATTTAATATGCAAAAGAATAAGTAAAAATGAGTAATGATAAGAATGCCTCTAATATTTAGATTCAATATATGTAATAGATATTGTTAGTTTATTATTATAATGTGATTAATTAAGAGAACTAACTATGAAGATAGAATGATTATCGAATTTCTATCATGAGGCTCCCAATTTGATGATTTCATTGATGAAATTAATATTATAATCGTTTTTATCATTGAGTATAGATTAGTTAAATCAGTGTAGATTTTTTTTGTATTGTAATTTATTAATAATATTTTTAATTCTTCTGGAAAAAGACAAAAATTAATGAAAATATTTTTTGTTATGAATTTTATCTTAAATTGTAAATCAGTTGAATAGACTTGCTGATAATATAGATTTTTAGTAATTTATTAATTCTAGAATTCTAAAGGTTAATAAATTATTATAAAAAATATTAATAAATATTAATAATTAATAATTTAATTTTATTATGAGCATGACGTAACTTTGTTAATTAACAAGTTATAAATTATAATATAATAATTATTATAAGTTAAAATTTTTTTCTTTATAAGTTTAAAATAAAATAATCAAAAACTTAATAAATATAAGAAAATTTATCAATATTGATAACTTATGATTTGTAAAATTTTACTATAATAATATTATTCCAAGAGAATTAATAGCGTTATAGATCATCAAGATTTAAAAATGGACTCCTGTTTTGATTTTTGACATTTAACCAATCGCATAGATTACGTTCACTTAATATTTTAACACTTAGCAAAGAATATTTTGTTTTGTTTTAAAATAAAAAAAAAATTTAATCCATAAAATAATGTAATAATTTCTTCAGAATTATACGTTGAAGTTTAAACAATCAACTAGATATAATCATCACATCAAATTTTTTTAAATATAATTATGTTGTCTGACAGGCTTTTTTTCTATTTTTTTATATTGTATATATATTAATATTTTTACTTAATTTTTTCGATGGTTTCGATTAGACTTCTTCTCAATTAAATTAGATAAATTTAAATTTGAACTTAATTTACGATTGTGCAAAAACTATATCGATAAGATATCTAGTAATCCCTAAATTTCAATTTACTAGACTAATATATCTAGAGACATTTATGAAAATGTAAGCACACGAGAAAATGATGATAATTACATTAAGCCAGTAAATTTTCTTTTAAAAAAATGAAAATTTTAAGCAATATAACAATATCAATGCATTTATAGAAGTATAATTTTATATAAATATAAAAATAAGTATATCGTTTAAATGTTAAAGATCATTATGCCAATTGATTTTATTACATCATTATTGACATCAAACAAACAATGTACTTATATAAACAATTATTAGTTTTTAGTTTAATTGGAATGAAAATTAGCATTTACAATGATTTATATAACTTTGCATCTTATTAACATAGAAGATTCTTATTTTAAAAAATTAATGACACATAATTGTATATATTAAAGTATTATTTATTTTTTACAATTTATTACAATAATAAAACTAAAATAATAAAAAATAAATTAAAAAAAGATAAAAAAAAATAAAAAAAAATAAATTAAAAAATTGGTAAAATTTTTATAAAATTCACAAAAAAGTTTGTCATATTGGTTAAATCAAAAAATTTTTCATATGTTTTCGTCGAAAAAGAAAAATTAATAAAAAAATGAAAAATAAAAATAGACCAGTTCAATAACTAGAAAAATAATGGAAAGCAATGCACGAATTTTAGAAACTTCTGAAAGAATTATATAATAGAAAAGAAGGAAGTAACGTAGCTATTTTTTATAACCTGATAATCATCAAAATCCTTTTTCCTTTCGAAATCTAACAGCTTTGTTATTACATATGACCTATTTACTGACGTGGATTATAAATTTATGTGCGTTAGTAGGTTAATTGAAAATTATTGCAATCTACAAATTATAAAACAATCCTGTTGTATATTTCAATTTTATACAGTTAGATAATTGTATCAATTATATATTAATTATTACGCATTTATTATAAAATTTATACATTTTTTAATTTTTTTTTATTTTTGCATTTTTTTTTTTACACATAATTTAGATTCGTAATTAAATATCAATTGAATCGTTCAAAAAACTAAATTCATCAATTCCATTGAAATAATAGTGAAATCAAAAACTATTATGCAGAGTATATTTTTATTTATATACAGAAATTACAATTTCGACAGATACGTTACAAAAATCGATATATCACATAGAAAATAGAATTTTTTTTTTTAAATCCATCATATTTATATCTTCAAGTTATTTTATGTACTTATACACGTTCATTCTACATTGAAATTTGAAGAAAAAATTGACTTCCTCGAAGAAAATGAAGTATAACAAAAACGAAAAAGTTTATATTTAGAATTTTTAAAAATCAATCTCTTTATACTCTTTATAGTCTTCAAATTCATAAAAGAATTAAGCGTGAAATTTATCATTAACGAAAGTTCTTCGACAAAAATGTTTAAAAAAAAGAGGAATATTATTTTTAAATATTAGTTTCAAATGATACAAAGAAAAATCGTAAGAAATTTCTGAAGTAACAGATTAATCAATTTCGCACATTTTTAATCACTTTTATCTTCAAAATCAATCGTATATATTTTCACACAAAGAAATCAAAATTATAACTTCAATATTATACTTTTTACTCAAGAAAAATTTCAAATAGCTTCTATAAAAATAAAGAAGTCGAAGATCAGTCGATTAATTAAATCGACATATTCTTTAAGAGGTGAGTGTGAATGCGCCAACCATCGAGAGTATTATACCTAAAATTGTGGTAAATTTGTCCGCCATTTTGAAGTTTGCTGAATTTGTGTCCAATTTCGGCAATAAATCTGTATCTTCGTTCTTTGTTTCTTCCTGTAATTAAATATTTACAAATATTTTTGTAATTAATATTTTTTTAAAAAAATATGGTTTGTTAAAATTTAATTTTAATTTTGAATATTTTAAATCATATGCAATAATTTCTATTTCAATAAGTATATACTTTATAAATTGCAATAAATTATTATAAAATAAAACTTTGAATCATAAATACCTTCGCATTTAAATCAGCAACGGTTTTAATAATTTCATTCTGCACAAAAGAAAAGACAATATTAATTATATCGAATGATAATTATTATGAAAGATATTATTTATATAACAATATTTTTAATTAAAGAACAATATTTTTAATTAATTAAAATTTCAATTCTGACAGTTTAGTATTACGTAATTTGCAATTTCTCTTTCAAAATTAGTTTTGAATTATGGTGAAATTATTTTTATTTCAAAATAAAAGTTATACTTTTCATTTCAAAAAAAAAAAAAAAAAAGGAAA